GGGGGGGGAGGGGGGAGGGGGGGGGTTGTAAGGTAGGTGATGTACTTATCTCTTTTATGTATTCCTCTCACTATAAATAGCAATGCAATAGTGGCTCTGTTTAGTGAGCCATTCACCAAAACATTCTCGGAGAACAATTTCCACTCTTCTAAAGGTTGTAACCCAGGGCATGTCCTAGTAGCATGATGTACAGTTGCGGAAGGGAAAGTTACTGATCTGATTTTCTTTTTTATCATTAAAAAATGACTCGTCTGATTTTCGTGGAGAGGGTCAAGAGAAATTGTGCAAGTCTGTTTCCAGGCTTACATAAAGAATTGAAAGATATATTTTCTCTACATCCAGCTAGAATTATTCAATGTTGTTCCCTACATATAAGTTCAAAATTTTACAGGTACAGGAAAGTGTTAAGAGTCAAGGTTGAATGTAGTTTTTGTTTGGAAGGAGAATGAGCAGACTGATCTATATCAAATACTGTTCAGCATGAAAAGAAGTCGGAGATGATATGAAGGCAAGGCTTAACCAGCACATAGACTTATATAGAACAAATACTATTCAACATGATTATGTTTTGGGTAATATGGATGAGAAAGAGTGAAGGCAAGGCTTAACCAGTACATATACTTATATAGTATGTACAGATGGTTGTACCTTTTGGCTTTTTGGTGTAGCTTATTGGATATATACATATGAATTACTTAAAGATTTTCTCAGCTACTCTCATGATTAATGAGAAGCTGTGTCTTTGTAACCGTAAAGATTCATCCTTGATGCTGCTTGATGAAAAAGAAAATTGCTTACTTAGTTAAAAGGTCAAATATAGTTCTCTCTACGTAACCTTCCATCGATTCTCAAGAGTGTTAGATTGCTTGAATGCTTCTCAGCTCTACATATATATCTAGTTTTTCCTAAATGACATATCTGCTGCAGTCAAGTCTTATACTCGGGGTTCAGGTATCCAAACCTTGGATTCAGATAACACTAACTTGGGTATGTGCTTGAGAGAACTACAGGCAAAGCTCCAACATGCAAGTTACTTAGGCTCAATGAATAGCAGAAGGAACTCTAAATGTCAGGCATGCTATACCTAATAACAGTAGCAACATGAATAGAGTACTACTTGTTAAAACTTGAAAGGGTGGTTAATTAGATTAGCCCTGACATCACCCTCAAGAGAGAGCGGCAAGCTTGTTTTGGACTACTCTTCAGGAGTGTAGGTAGATATTTACATCAGATTAAGTCTGGACCTGATCCAATGTGCTAATGATTTACAGAGGAAAGTGAGGCTGGGGCATTACCAGCCTAAAGGTAATGCCATGTTTTGGGATAACCAGAGAAATCAGTTCAGTAGCTAAGGATAACAAAGGAAAGTGAAAACAAACCAAGAGGAGACTGTGACTATTTCCTATAATAGAACTTCTAGATGGCATAGCCTCAACCTCAATCTAAGCTATAATCATGTCCTTTATTATCCTTGTGGCTCAAGTCCGTCCCTTGATTTGTTCCAAACACACCAACAAATTGACACTGATGAGAGACCTTCATAAGTTCCAGTGTTTCATATAATCACTTGTCACCTAAGTTGCTCGGACTCGAGTGTGGGTGTCCGATACGGGTGCGGATCTAGAGATTGGATCTTTCATGGTTTAATTTTTAAGATTTGGGAGTATGGATCCAGATTATGGATATGGATATGGGTGTGGGGATTCAACTATCTAAAAATAGAGTTATTAAAATATGTCTTCTTTATGTGGAACTTACAAGGTATTCCGAGAATGACAGAATATTGATCAAGAGAAGAATTCGAAAAGGAGATAAAAGGAAAAAGATTGACATATAAATTTCTATATACAAGGTACTCTATTTTCTTCAATTTCACTCTAGCTTTTGTTTTAA